ATCCAATTAACCTACCAGCATGTCTTTGGAGTGTGGGAGGAAACTGGAGTACCCAAGGAGGAAACCCACACAGGGAGAACATGCAAACTCCAGGCAGGTGGTGCCGTGGCTGGGATTCGAACCAACGACCCTAGTACTACCAGGCAAAAGTGCTAACCATTTAGCCACTGTGCTGCCCTAAAAATACATTTCAATTGGGTCCGCCTGCCCATTTTTTTCAGGTGGACCCGATTGGAACCTTTATTCTTCCTTATGGGGCGGCAACAACATCCAATCCGAGACGGATTCCCCTTCTGACCGTCGGATCGAATTGGATGGCAGTCGGTTGGAAGCGGGCAGGCCGTCCATTTCCATCTGACCACCCATAGAGGACAGCGGGCTCTGCTTAAATGAAGCGGACATGGATCTGTCATCTGCTAGCTCAGCGGGGATCAGCAGACTGATCCCCCGCTGAGCAAGCAGACGCGCTGATGAGTCCACCCCGTGTGAAAGGGGCTTTACTGATAGTAAATAACATACAAAGTTTTATCATTTCATGACAAATTCATATCCATCTATGAAGGAGGAGGATGAAAATTGTGAAAGAACTATTTTCCCTGCAGGAGCAAATTCGATCATGCGTTGCTGGTTTTTTTTGCCTTCCTCTGGATCAACTGTGGGTGTAGGATTATAACTTTTTTTTTAAATGGTTGAACTGGATGGACTTTTGTCTTTTTTCAGCCAGACTAACTATGTAAACTATGTAAAAGGAAGAGAGAGCAGAAAGAGAGGACATGGTGATAACTGATAGAAAAAAAAAATATCTTCTGCATTCTCTGTATTCAGAATTAAATAAAAAAAGAAGAAACATATAGCTGGCAACATGAAATACATTGTTATACTTCGCTCATCCTTTATTGAGATTAAATCCTAAACTTGCAGGCCTGGTCACTTCAAAACACTAAGAATGGAGTGCTGAAGCCATTCCAGCCAATAATAATTCAACTTAACTGATGGCAGATCAATGCAAAATGGATTCTGATTGGTTGTTGTGGTTATTGCACTTTGCCTTTTAGTATTCAGCTTCTTACATTGTTTGTTGGTATCTGATATACAGATACTCATAAATATATTTAGTAACAGAGTGATGTCCAGTTTCTGGAAGGTGGCCAAATGTGGAATCATCTTTATAAATACTGACTTAAATTTTAGATCATCTGTATTAATTCCTCATAGATATTATTATTATTATACAGGGTTTATATGGCGCCAACAGTTTGCTCAGCGCTTTAGATAGGGAATCACTGCAGCTTCAACCAGTGATATTGCCAAACATCAGGCAGCACAGTGGCTAAATGGTTAGCACTTCACCTGGCAGTCAAATCCCAACCACGGCACCACCTGCTTGGAGTTTGCATGTTCTCCTTGTACCTGTGTGGGTAGTTTTTTTTTTTTTTGGTGCATGTACCCCATACTCATTCACATAGAGCAGCTGGGATATGATGGTTCCCTCATTAAAGGGGGCTTCCAGATTCCAATTAATCACCCTCACCAAGCCATGGTGGGGATGAGGCCTTTGACATGGTGAGGATAACTCAAAGCAACCCCCCTCCCCCCCATATTGACAGCATGTGGCCTGGTATGGTTCATAAAAGGAGGGCCGCATGCTTGCCCCCCCTTTCCTGGCCTTCCAGACTGTACACTTGGATAAGGATCTGGTAGTGGATTTTGGGGTCACCTCAATTCAATTTTTTTATTTTTGGTGTGAAGTTCTACCTAAAACCCATACCAGACCCAAAGCGCCTGGTATGATCTGGAGGATTGCACACCTTTTTTTTTTTTTTTACTGTTGGCTTTTTTATTTTCTTGGTTGTTTGCAGTTACCAGCTATTCACCGGTTGTTAAGGACACCAGTAGGTTCAGTCATTGAAATACTGCACATTTTCACTACTAAAATACTGCATCACTTCAAGAAATAGTGTTTGTGGTATTTTAGTAGCATGTTTTGGTGAACTGCAAAAAAAAAAAAACTTTTGAAAAATACTAAAAATTTTACCTAAAATGTTAGAGCGTTACATAAGATTTCATGAATTGAGCCTATTGTGTCTGGTATTTAGTGTCAGCTAATGTCAGTGGGTTTTAGGTTTGATAAAAAAGCACCATTGTTCCTGAGCACTACTACCAGTACAAACAACAAATACCATACACACATATAGGGTATCACTGTGATTGTGAGAGACAAACTGAAAGTCCAACCTCAAATGCTAGGGGACATGATGATGTTAATGGCTTAGGCTCCACCCAATATGTTTCGTCACAGAGAATGTCATCAGGAGCAACACAGGTTGAGTGGAATCTAAGCCGCTGATATTGTCACATCTGTCCGCACTTGAGATTGTTTTATTTATTGTCTTGTGAGTACCCTCTATACTAAATAAATGCAGTGGATTTATACAGTGATATACTATCTGGCTCTGTTTCTCTCTTCATGTCTCCTGCTGCCCGCATTTCATTTTTGAGATGATTGTAATCTTGGTTGAGATTCGTGCCAAGCTGGCCATCTCCATCCCGTGGACACCTTCGATATATGTGTGTATGACCTCGGTTGGTGGGGGGTCATTTCTGGTAAAAGGCTTTTGTCTCTCAGTAATGGTGCACGGGGATTGGCACATTTAGAGTACTGATCTGCAGATACACTGAGCACATGCTAACTGTACTTTTTTCTCACATGATTATTTATTTTATTGTCTTTGCATCAATTATGGTGAGAGCACAAGTTGTTTGTCCCTGTAATAATTCCTGCAAGGTCAATAGAAACAGGCAACCATCCATGTATTACTTGTGCAATGAAAAGGCTTTGCTCAGAACAAGCAACAAAAATATTTTTTGACACACACACCAGCTAGCCAGCAAAAAAAAAAAAAAAAAAGAAAAGAAAAAAACTACACTTTCCCTTAAAAACAGAGGTTTTAGGCAGTCTACTTGAGAAAAGAGTGGGTGAGGGGCAAGCCTGTCCCAGTGAACACCTTCACATTCATGCTGGGGAGATCTAGGTTCAGGAGTCAGTTCCATGGAGGATATGATGGAAACCTCCGTGACCTGGGCCATTTGAAGGGCCTGAGGGCCAGCCTCCTTCCCTCCAACTATGGACCCAGGACTAAGGAGACCCCCCTCATGGGGTTACAAGGAACCTTCCCCCCAAGAGGGTTATATCACTTCCATAGGTACCTGGCTGGCCATGAATTATACCAGCTATCCTTTCCATGCCATTAGGGTTGGATTCAATTCTTTTTTTTCAGATCCTCAGAGAGTTCTTTGCCATGAGGTGCCATGTTGAACTTCCAGTGACCAGTATGAGAGAGTGAGAGCGATAACACCAAATGTAAACACACCCGCTCTCCATTCACACCTGAGACCTTGTAACACTAACGAGTCACATGACTCCAGGAGGGGGAAAATGGCTAATTGGGCCCAATTTGGACCTTGTCACTTAGGGGTGGACCCACTCTTGTTGCCAGCGGTTTAGACATTAATGGCGGTGTGTTGAGTTATTTTGAGGGGACAGCAAATTTACATGTTACACAAGCTGTACACTCACTACGTCACATTGTAGCAAAGTGTCATTTCTTCAGTGTTGTCACATGAAAAGAGAGAATAAAATATTTACAAAAATGTGACGGGTAGACTCACTTCTGGGAGATACTGTATGTTTTTTTTGTGTGTATAGAAAAGCAAGTGTAATAGAAAAGTTAAATTTTTTTTTAAATGATCCATTGTTTTGAGGTATGTATCTATGAGAAGGTCACTTGAGGCCCAGTAATTAGGAGTATTTTGTGGGTACAATGACCGTGGCATATCCTATGTGTGTATACAGTGACTAGACACAGGTTCTGTTTAATCATTGTCTTTATATTTCAATATTTTTATTGAGAAACCAGCAAATTATAACAGAGAACAAGATGGCAAACACAAAGAAAAAGAAGGAGGCCCACCCGGATGGTTGGACAAGTTGTTAATCATTGTCTTTAAACCACTCCTACAGTAAGGCACTGTCTTGCTTTACATGCCACCATTATTTCTAGATTCCACCCCAGGTCTTTCATAACCCAATAACACAAACAAAAAGAAAAACATGGGACTTTATGGGTACAAATACAACTCATAAACTCTCACAAAGTTAATTTTTAATATTTTATTTCAGGTACTTATATATCGCTGTAAATTTACACAGCGCTTTACATATATATTGTACATTCACATCAGTCCCCGCCCCCGAGGAGCGTACAATCTAAAGTCCTTAACTCACATTCATACATACACATACTAGGGCCAATTTAGACAGGAGCCAATTCACCTACCAACATGTGGGAGGAAACCCACGCAGGCACATGGATAACATGCAAACTCTAGGCAGGTGGTGCTATGGTTGGGAGTCGAACCAACAACCCTAGTAGTGCCAGGCAAAAGTGCTAACCATTTAGCAACTGTGCTGCTTTAACATTTCAATAAAATAACATCATAAAAATACTTTGCTATATTTTATTATATAAAATCTAAAATAAATTGAATAACTCAAGCTCTAACTATGGTGAAATAAAAACAAAAATTACAATTAAATGCTGTAGCCGCTAGTGCACACAACCCATGTCTCAGTGGGGCAAATTATACAATCATAATGTGAAGTGAAAAAATGCTGCGCTACGTGAAACAATGGCACAATCCATTATATAACCAAAAAACTAAGTAAAGAAATAAATATATATTAGAAGAAAAAATAGTAGAAAAATATTAATATTGAAATAAAATATAAATATATATCAAAAACAAAAGCCACACAAAAATAAAAATAAAAAAATATATACCGTATTTTTCGCTCCATAAGAAGTACTTTTTTCCCCTCAAAAAAGGGGGGAAAATGTCAGTGCGTCTTATGGAGGGAATATGGAGCGGCTGGTCCGGTATTTCCACAGCCGCCGTCTCAGAATACCGGGCCGGCCGCTCAGCTTTGCAGCGGGACCTTACCTGTTCCTCACTCCATCGCTGCGCAGTCTTCCCGCGCCGGCTTCTTTAGTGTGAGCTCTTGGCTTGACAGCCGGGTGCCCAGTGCGCATGCGCGAGTAGCGCCGCACTTTGTGAATGTTACGGCGTCTTCTGGGACACATGACAGGTCCCAGAAAATGGCGGACCAATCACAAAGCGCAGCGCTTCTCGTGCATGCGCACTGGGCACCCAGCTGTCAGCCGGGTGCCCACACTAAAGGGAGGACAACTCCGCGAAAGTGGGAGCGGGTACCTGTCATATTCAGGTACCCACTCCCCCTCCCTCCCCAAAGGTCAGCAGTCATCTCCTGTACTGTCCACAGTCTCTGGTCATCTCCTGTACTGTCCGCAGTCTCTGGTCATCTCCTGCACTGTCCGCAGTCTCTGGTCATCTCCTGTACTGTCCGCCGTCTCTGGTCATCCCCTGCACTGTTCGCAGTCTCTGGTCATCCCCTGCACTGTCCGCAGTCACTGGTCATCCCCTGTACTATGTCCGCAGTGTCTTGGTCATCCCCTATACTGTCCGCAGTGTCTTGGTCATTCCCTATACTGTCCACAGTCTCTGGTCATCCTCTGTACTGTCCACAGTCTCTGGTCATCTCCTGTACTGTGTCTGCAGTCTCTGGTCATCTCCTGTACTATGTCCGCAGTCTCTGGTCATCTCCTGTACTGTGTCTGCAGTCTCTGGTCATCTCCTGTACTGTGTCTGCAGTCTCTGGTCATCTCCTGTGTAGTGTGTCCGCAGTCTCTGGTCATCTCCTGTACTGTGTCCGCAGTCTCTGGTCATCTCTTGTACTATGTCTGCAATCTCTGGTCATCTCCTGTATTATGTCCGCAGTCTCTGGTCATCTCCTGTACTGTGTCCGCAGTCTCTGGTCATCTCCTGTACTGTGTCCGCAGTCTCTGGCCATCTCCTGTACTATGTCTGCACTCTCTGGTCATCTCGTGTACTGTGTCCGTAGTCTCTGGTCATCTCTTGTACTGTGTCCGCAGTCTCTGGTCATCTCCTGTACTGTGTCTGTAGTCTCTGGTCATCTCCTGTACTATGTCCGCAGTCTCTGGTAATCTCCTGTACTATGTCCGCAGTCTCTGGTCATCTCCTGTACTATGTCTGCAGTCCATTGGTTCAGAATATTTTTTATCTTGTTTTCTGCCTCTAAAACCTAGGTGAGTTTTATGGTCAGGTGCGTCTTATGGAGCGAAAAATACGGTACAAAAAACAAAAACCACACAAAATATAAAACAAAAAATTAATATTTTTAAGTATGAATCAAACAAAAAGTCATTCAAAAAATCAAGTTAAATCAATAAAGTGTTTATTCAGTGAACCCTCCTTTGAATAAGGAAAAATATGTGCCTCTGTCATCAATTCCTATGCAAAGACGTCCTCCACCATATATCAGCTCACCTCACACAGTGTGACTGCACATTATACAATATTACGGTCTAACTGCACTTTTGGTCCCATATATGGACTCAGAAGATCAGCTCACTTAATGAAGACTGCAAATATGCTCCCTCCCTCTTTGTATCAGCCATATTCCTCATTAAAAAGAACTCAACATAGTGGTTTAGCCTTTTTAAACTTTTATTCATCAATTAAACATAAGAAATACACTCACGTTCCGGAGGTCTATTTTGCACCAGGTATGATGAAGGTCCAGTGATGTACTGATTAAACACAAGATAGCAGAATCATCTCAGCAGCAGAGTCCTGTACATGCTCAAAACAGACACCATCCATAATGTGATGCAAGGCAAAGCACGGGCCCACTCAATAAATGATATTGCCTGCTGTAATGTCGCTCCAAAGGGCCCTTTGTAGAGTACTACAAGCCACTATCCCGATGAATGGCAACTTCGTGACGTCATCCACACACTCCTCCCCGAAGCATTTCGTCACTAATCACATGACTTTATCAAGGTTTTTTTTTATATATATTTATTGTGTGTATATATATATATATATATATATATATACATATATATACAATAAATATATATGAAAAAAACCTTGATAAAGTCATGTATATAGTGGCACAGTGGCTTAGTGGTTAGCACTTCCGCCTGGCAGTACTAGGGTCATTGGTTCAAATCCCAACCACAGCACCACCTTCCTGGAGTTTGCATGTTCTCCCTGTGCCTGCGTGGGTTTCCTCCAGCTACTCCTGTTTCCTCCAATCACACCAAAGACATACAGGTAGGTGAATAGGATCCTGTCTAAAATTATCCATAGTATGTGTATGTGAGTTAGGGACCTTAGATTGTACACCCCTTGAGGGTTAGGGACTGATGTGAATGTACAATATATATGTAAAGCGCTGTGTAAATTGACGGTACTATATAAGTACCTGAAATAAAAATATATATATATTTTTTTTTTAGTTCAATATTAATATTTTTTCTTCTAATATATATTTATTTCTTCACTTTGTTTTTTGGTTATATAATGGTTTGTGCCATTGTTTCATGTAGCGCAGCATTTTTTCACTTCATATTATCATTGTATATCTCATTATATAGCAAAGCAAAAAAAACACACCGTCTTTTTCCAGAGCAGCCTGTATTTGTGCTCCCGGCACAGTCACCAGCGCCCGATGGAGAGTATACTCCCGGAACAGTTACCAGCACCTGATGGAGAGCATACTCCCGGAACAGTTACCAGCGCCCGATGGAGAGCGTACTCCTGGAACAGTTACCAGCGCCCGATGGAGAGCGTACTCCCGACACAGTTACCAGCGGCCGATGGAGAGCGTACTCGCGGCACAGTTACCAGCACCCAATGGAGAGCGTTCTCCCGGAACAGTTACCAGCGCCCGATAGAGAGCGTACTCCCGGAACAGTTACTAGCGGCCGATGGAGAGCGTACTCCCGGCACAGTTACCAGCACCCGATGGAGAGCATACTCCCGGCACAGTTACCAGCGCCGGATGGAGAGCGTACACCCGGAACAGTTACCAGCGCCCGATGGAGAGCGTACTCCTGGAACAGTTACCAGCGCCCGATGGAGAGCGTACTCCCGACACAGTTACCAGCGGCCGATGGAGAGCGTACTCGCGGCACAGTTACCAGCACCCAATGGAGAGCGTTCTCCCGGAACAGTTACCAGCGCCCGATAGAGAGCGTACTCCCGGAACAGTTACTAGCGGCCGATGGAGAGCGTACTCCCGGCACAGTTACCAGCACCCGATGGAGAGCATACTCCCGGCACAGTTACCAGCGCCGGATGGAGAGCGTACACCCGGAACAGTTACCAGCGCCCGATGGAGAGCGTATTCCCGGAACAGTTACCAGCGCCCGATGGAGAGCGTACTCCCGGCACAGTTACCAGCGCCCGATGGAGAGCGTACACCCGGAACAGTTACCAGCGCCCGATGGAGAGCGTACTCCCGGCACAGTTACCAGCACCCAATGGAAAGCGTACTCCCGGCACAGTTACCAGCGCCCGATGGAGAGCGTACTCCCGGAACAGTTACCAGCCTCCAATGGAGAACTTACTCCCGGAACAGTTACCAGCGGCTGATGGAGAGCGTACTCCTGGCACAGTTACCAGCAGCCAATGGAGAGCGTACTCCCGGCACAGTTACCAGTGCCTGATGAAGAGCGTACTCCCAGCACAGTTACCAGCACCCGACGGAGAGCGTACTCCCGGCACAGTTACCAGCGCCCGACGGAGAGCGTACTCCCGGCACAGTTACCAGCACCCGACGGAGAGCATACTCCCGGCACAGTTACCAGCGCCCGACGGAGAGCGTACTCCCGGCACAGGTACCAGAGCCGATGGAGAGCGTACTGCCGGCACAGTTTCCAGCGCCCGATGGAGAGCGTACTCCCGGCACAGTTACCAGCGCCCGATGGAGAGCATACTCCCGGCACAGTTACCAGCACCCGATGGAGAGTGTACTCCTGGCACAGTTAAAAGCGCTCGATGGAGAGCGTACTCTCGGCACAGTTACCAGTGCCTGATGGAGAGCGTACTCTCGGCACAGTTACCAGCGCCTGATGGAAAGCTCCCGATTGCTACTTGTGATTGGGAGTTTGCTGATCATGTAACCACTGTCATGATCATAAGCCACGCCCCCTAGTATCAGAAACCTCTTAAAGGGCTGAGAGGTGCAGTATTCAGGAGTAAATTAATACTTTGGAGAGCATACTCCCGGCACAGTTACCAGCGCGCCCGATTGAGAGCGTACTCCCGGCACAGTTACCAGCGCCCCATGGAAAGCATACTCCCGACACAGTTACCAGCGCCCGCTGGAGAGCGTAGTCCCGACACAGTTACCAGCGCCCGATGGAGAGCGTACTCCCGGCACAGTTACCAGCGCCCCATGGAGAACGTACTCCCGGCACAGCTACCAGCGCCCCATGGAGAACGTACTCCCGGCACAGCTACCAGCGCCCGATGGAGAGCGTACTCCCGGCACAGCTACCAGCGCCCGATGGAGAGCGTACTCCCGGCACAGCTACCAGCGCCCGATGGAGAGCGTACTCCCGGCACAGCTACCAGCGCCCGATGGAGAGCGTACTCCCGGCACAGCTACCAGCGCCCGATGGAGAGCGTACTCCCGGCACAGGTACCAGAGCCCGATGGAGAGCGTACTCCCAGCACAGTTTCCAGTGCCTGATGGAGAGCATAATCCCGGCACAGTTACCAGCACCCGATGGAGAGCGTACTCCCGGCACAGTTACCAGCACCCGATGGAGAGCGTACTCCCGGTACAGTTACCAGTGCCCGATGGAGATTGTACTTGCGGCACAGTTACCAGCGCCCGATGGAGAGCTCCCGATTGCTACTTACAATCGGGAGTTTTCTGATCATGTGACCGCTGTCATGATCATAAGCCATGCCCCCTGGTATCAGAAACCTCTTAAAGGGCCAAGAGGCGCAGTATTCAGGGGTATATCAATACTTTGTCCAGCTTTCAGAATTTACAGGTGACAGTGAGAAGTGATAGCAGGTCAGGAGATACATGAAGTGATAGCAGGTCAGGAGATACATGAAATGATAGCAGGTCAGGAGATACTTGAAGTGATAGCATGTCAGGAGATACTTGAAGTGATAGCAGGTCAGGAGATACTTGAAGTTATAGCAGGTCAGGAGATACTTGAAGTGATAGCAGGTCTGAAGATACTTGAAGTGATAGCAGGTCAGGAGATACTTGAAGTGATAGCAGGTCAGGAGATACTTGAAGTGATAGCAGGTCAGGAGATACTTGAAGTGATAGCAGGTCAGGAGATACTTGAAGTGATAGCAGGTAAGGAGATACTTGAAGTGATAGCAGGTCAGGAGATACTTGAAGTGATAACAGGTCAGGAGATACATGAAGTGATAGCAGGTCAGAAGATACTTGAAGTGATAGCAGGTCAGGAGATACTTGAAGTGATAGCAGGTCAGGAGATACTTGAAGAGATAACAGGTCAGGAGATACTTAAAGTAATAGCAGGTCAGAAGATACTTGAACTGCTTATTGGGTGCTGATATTTGTCCCACAAGGCTAGTAGGTAAATATTTTAAGAAATTCAGTTATGTGCCCCCAGGAAAGATTTGACTTTAATTAAACTTCTGTGTACTCAGCTTTTTTTTTCTTCTATTATATAAGCCAGCCTTGTTCTTCGTAGGGTGGACCTCCACTGAAGTATTCCAACTGTCTACATTCTCAGCACCAACTGAACCCCCCGGTAAGTATACGCTGGAATATTGTTATTACATTATTAATCCTATTATAATTACTTAAAAGGAAAGAATCCTCGGTATTCAGCTT